TGTCGCATCCCTCCACTCTAAGCCATTCATCAGTTGCCAACACACGTCTCTGCCCCTGTAACCATACATATTCTAGTTAGGTGGACACAAGCAAATGCTTTGGTTAGTCAAATTATTTCTTGATGTGATCAAGTTATCTAACCTGACCAATCTGCTGCATAAAGTCTCTGATGACAGGACGTGAACCAATTCCTGTAGACCACACAACCATACCATAAGGCTCAGAGACAATTTTACCAGTTTCTCTTTCCTTTGTGGATATCTCATCAGCAGTCACTCCCACAACCATTGATCCTGTCTTCAAATCAATACCGTCTCTTTGGAACTTTTCCTCAGCAAAAGCAGTGATCCTCTTGTCAAACCTGAAAGGAGAGTGGAGCCAAAACATTAACAAAAAAAAGCAGAGCAGATTAAGCCATTTATAGAAGCTTGGAGTGTGAAGTTACATGTTGAGAATGTGGTCGCCTGCTTCAAGAAGAGTGATTCTTGTAAACTCTTGGACCTTTGGGTATATCTTAGCCACATCATCAACTAAGAAATCATGTAGCTCAGCTGAGAACTCGACACCAGTTGGTCCTCCACCAACCACAACGAAATGTAGAATCTTTTTCCTCTCTTCTTCAGTTAGATTGGGAAGAGAGGCTCTCTCGAAACAGTCGATGACTGAATGACGGATGTTTAGAGCATCCTCTGCTTCTTTGAGGAAGTAGGCATGTTCCTCAACTCCAGGGGTGTTGAATGTGTTAGGCTTAGCTCCAACAGCTATGACTAGAATGTCATAATCCATGTCAAACTCAGTCGTGCCCTTAAGACTTGACCCATCCTTGGACCGGCAGTGTATTTTCTTGTTTGATGCATCAATCTTGACACACTCTGCTTCTGTGTACTCAAATCCTTTCTGAGAGAGATGTTTAGAAACAGAATCAGATAAAAAATCTCAAAACTTGAAACAATAGTAATAAGAGAAGTTAGTTGCAAGGGTCATGAGAATACCTTGCGGATAAGGCCACGAATGGGTTCAACAATGCTACGGGCTTCGACAGTGCCATTGGTAACACTTGGCAAGAGAGGAGTAAAGAGGAAAAAGTTACGAGGAGACACAACTTGAACATCATAGTTAGGGTTGTTCAAGTAATTCAAGAAGCTGTAGCCGCTCCATCCACTCCCGAGAACGACCACCTTCTTCTTCTTGATTGGTTGGCCATCTGCATCAAGAGTAGCGTCTGCGTGTAGTATACGCCTCAATGGACTCGAGTCCGTATACACAAGTACACCACCACCGCTGCACAAACGTCAATACATAAAAGATCAGAAAGAGAGGAGTATAAAGACATAAACCAAAGAGAAAGTAAGACTTATTTGAAACCGGATCTAACGAAAGAAGGACAAGGAGAGACCTGAAAGTGCTGAGAACAAGAAGCTTGGAAACAGAAGGGTGAGCCTTGAGTAAGGTAAAAGCTCTCTTGTAAAAGCTATGGAAACTCATGATGTATGGAGGATTCGGCAAATATATTCTCAAACCTCTCTCAGATCCAAAACAGAGCTCAGAGAGAGAGCTTTGTTAGAATTTTGGAAGAGAGGCTGCGAATGTGAATGGTGCACAACTGCAAACTGTCAAGTTACTTTAGGGTACGTGAGAGAGAGAGAGAGAGGAGAGGCCGGCGACACACTTAAACCAACATAAATAAAAATTGAGAAAATAAAAAGACAGTGAGGTATTTAGGAAAATTTGGAGTAACGCCCAAGTAAATTTAGGAATATGCATTTATTATTATTCCTATTCTTTTAAATAATAAAAAGTAAAGAGAAGATTTTTACTAGGGTTTTGACATTTCTCAAAAACTGGAGTTTGACTTTAAACGACATTATGTACCGCGTTCTGTGGACATATAATACGCGGTTTAGTATTTACCAATCGCCAGAATATTTGGATGGTGTTCGTTGTTAGTTCTTTTAATTTGCAAAATAAATTTTAGTTATTTATTTATCCAAATTAATTTTAAGCAATATATAAAGAAAGAAAAAAGAAATATACGAAGAAAGAAAAAAAAAAAAGCAATCACATGTTGCTAAGTTTGTAAACAATTGTCTCAACAATTGGCTTTGTTAAAGTTAATTTATTCGATTTGTTGAAAAAAACAGAATAGAAAAAGAAAGTATCATTGATCGAAATAAGACGATAGTTTCACCTTTAATGTGGAAAGCTTGTGTTACCAGAAATATCTTGGTATTTCGCCGGATTTGATACGATTTAATATTGGAGGATTTTGGAAGATTTTTTGAAGTTATAACCTCGTTTTTATTTTTCTTCCTCGTCATCAATACCCAACTTGCTTTACGGCGAAAAAGAAAAATGAAAAATTAGGTTAGAACTTCAAAAGATCTTATAGATTTTTTTTGATATCTATAGATTATTTAGTCACTTTTAGAAGAAAAAAAATTCAAAAAAATCATAATTCCTCGTTACACTACGATCTAACTCTATTTTAAAATATGTGTTTGTCTAGAATAATTTAAGTTAATTAACTAATTCGCGCGTAAAACAAAAAAAAATGTAATATATTGTATTTTTAAAGAAGGAAAAAATATATTAAAAAACTATATAAAAGTGTTTTTGATTGTTTTCATTGTGTATTTAAATAAAACTATGTTTCATGTTAATTTTTAAATTCCAAGAAACTATTTATAGAGTGAGGATATAAATGTCTTTTTCTTATTTATTTTTAACAGTAAAAAGAATATTAATATTATAAAATGAAAATATTGGATTCTGAGGTTTTTTTATTTTTGTTGATGCAGAGAAGATGGTCGTGGTCGTCGGTTGAGCTATTTTTTGGCTTTCTCCCGACAAAATCCCCAGATCCGATTACTCACTCACTACCAATCTCATTCAATTATAAGGATCTGTATTTTCAATTATGAGGAGGCGTGGTGATAGTTTCCGGCGAGCTGGCCGCCGGAAGATCTCGAATGTTGTCTGGTGGGTACTCTCTGCTATTGTCCTCTTCCTCTTCTTTCTCATTCTCTCCAAAGCTGGCCATATCGAACCCAGACCCTCCATTCCCAAGGTTTCATCTTTTTCCCCAAAGATCTCTTCTTTTTGTTTTTTTGGTTTTGTAGATTTCAATTTTGCTCAAAAAAATCGAACCTTTCTTTCTTTACTTACTGCAGCGACGTTACCGTAATGACAAATTCTTAGAGGGTATGAACATGACTGAGGAAATGTTGAGTCCTACTTCCGTTGCTCGTCAAGTTAATGATCAGATCGCTCTTGCTAAAGCCTTTGTTGTCATTGCTAAAGAAAGTAAGAATCTTCAGTTTGCTTGGGACTTGAGTGCTCAGATCCGTAACTCTCAGCTTCTTTTGTCGACTGCTGCTACTAGGAGAACTCCCTTGACTGTCCTTGAGTCCGAGCCTACTATTCGCGACATGGCTGTTTTGTTATACCAAGCTCAGCAGCTTCACTATGATAGTGCCACTATGATTATGAGGCTCAAGGCCTCTATTCAGTCTCTTGAAGAACAGATGAGTTCTGTTACTGAGAAGAGTTCCAAGTATGGTCAGATTGCTGCTGAGGAAGTGCCCAAGAGTCTTTACTGTCTTGGTGTTCGTCTCGCTACTGAATGGTTTCAGAACCTAGACCTGCAGACAAGCCTCAAGGAAAGAAACCGTGCTGATTCCAAACTCACGGATAACAGTCTCTACCATTTCTGCGTCTTCTCTGATAACATTATTGCTACTTCTGTTGTCGTTAACTCTACTGCTCTCAACTCCAAGGCCCCTGAGAAAGTTGTCTTTCATCTTGTCACTAATGAGATCAACTATGCTGCAATGAAGGCTTGGTTTGCCATGAACATGGACAACCTCAGAGGAGTCACTGTGGAGGTTCAGAAATTCGAGGATTTCTCATGGCTCAATGCTTCCTATGTTCCCGTCCTCAAGCAGCTGCAAGACTCTGATACGCAAAGCTACTATTTCTCTGGACACAACGACGATGGGCGCACTCCAATCAAATTCAGAAACCCCAAGTATCTTTCCATGCTCAACCATCTTAGGTTCTACATACCCGAAGTATTTCCTGCGCTGAAGAAGGTGGTCTTTCTTGATGACGACGTTGTTGTTCAAAAGGATCTTTCTGGTCTCTTTTCGATCGATTTAAACAAGAACGTGAACGGGGCTGTGGAGACCTGCATGGAGACCTTCCACCGCTACCACAAGTACTTGAACTATTCGCATCCCCTCATCCGCTCTCACTTTGATCCAGATGCGTGTGGGTGGGCGTTTGGGATGAATGTCTTTGATTTAGTTGAATGGAGAAAGAGAAATGTGACTGGCATATATCACTACTGGCAAGAAAAGAACGTGGACCGGACCCTATGGAAACTTGGCACGCTACCTCCAGGACTTCTGACGTTTTACGGGTTAACAGAGGCACTGGAGGCGTCGTGGCATATCCTGGGATTAGGATACACCAATGTGGATGCTCGTGTGATAGAGAAAGGAGCTGTTCTTCACTTCAATGGGAACTTAAAGCCGTGGTTGAAGATCGGGATAGAAAAGTACAAACCATTGTGGGAGAGATACGTTGATTACAGTCACCCTTTTATGCAACAATGCAATTTTCATTGATTCCTAGGGTCCATAGTTTTACTTCCACTTCTTAGACAGCTATATCTTCCACATTTGGTTACAGATACACTTGCAAGAGTTTTGTATGCTCTAGGCAGCACCATCACTTACTGTATGTTGTGAATGTGATATTCAAATTCAATGAAGCATCAGCGATTCACTGATTTTCATATATATATTTTGTTTTGCTTTAAACTTCAACTGATTAACAATAAACCCTATAATGTTGGTGACCACATATATAGGCGCAACCAACTCATCTATTGAGCCGCAACTTTTAAAAGTCTGTTTCTTTTTTTACAAAGTTCAAAAAGATTCTCTGTATCTTCTTATAAGATTGACAAGTTTTCTTCTTTCTCACTCAGGAAGCAGAGTAACAATGAAGGGCTGTGAGCATGAACAACAACTCAAAACAAGAAGAGCAAAGTCCCGGGAGGTTAGTTCACGTTTTCTCTCCTCTCCATCTGCGTCTTCTTCTTCTCCAAACCGCAGAAACTCCACTTCTAATTCATCTATCAAGAGAGATGATCAGAACAACAACAGTCTGAAAGTTCATCTCGGCCTGAAAAAGCATGATAGGATGTCAAATGGCACAGAGGTTTGTTTCGGGTTACCAAACCAAAGTAGCATAGAAATTGACACAAAAGAAAACCGTAGGCCTTCACCGTGGATTGATGATGAGGACAGCGTCATACTTCCTGGCAGATTTTCAGTTGATGGATGTGCATTGTATAGAGCATCATCAAGGAGAAACTCATGCTCTCTACTATATGAATCCTTAAACGATGAATCAGATTCAGAGTTGAGTGATGTATCCCTCTCTTCAAGTGTTAGTACTAACCGTTCGTCCCGCAACCATAAACCTGGTATCAAGGTCTCTTCTAAGTATCTACGTGATTTAACAGCTGGACCAAGCAAAGGGAACAACAATGAGACCAAACCAAGGTCACAAGAAGATTTGCTGAGAGCTAATAGCTTTAGGGGAATTGAGAATAGGTTGAAGAGGAATAGTTCAGTGGCAAGGTATGGAAGTTCGATGTCCCAGTGGGCGCTTTCACCAGGAAGATCGTTGGACACTCAGACAGTGACAGTTCCAAGCTCAAAACTAAAGCCTCCAAGAGGGAAAAGCGTGGGTAAACTAATCAACCTCGGTTTTGATTTCTTCAGGAGCAAAAACAAGTCTTCCCCCTTTACCTCACCACTAAAACCAAAGACATGTGACACAGAATCTGTTCATCAGCTGAAGCTTATGAATAACCGGTTGGTTCAATGGAGGTATGTCAATGCTAAAGCCTATGCTGCAAACAATAGCTTAGCCTTCCTAGAAAAGGTAATTATTTTCTACTCTCTGCAAGTGTAGTCATCACCTCTTCTCATGCTTGTCACTTTATTAAGTTTCACATAATCGTGATATCTTTGCTGCTTAGAATCAAATATAAAAGCTAACAACCTTTGTAGAAGCAAATACTCTGTGCGTGGGATACTCTTACCAAGTTGAAACATTTGGTTCTGCAAGAGAGAATCAAACTGCAGAAGGAAAAACTAGAGATGAAGCTGAATTATGTGCTTCTTTCTCAAGTAAGTGTATGAAGTCCAAACACATTTACTTAAAATCCAAGCCATGGAGGATAAAAAAGTATTGATACGAAATATATCGGAAACAGGTTAAGCATCTTGAAGCTTGGGAGGACATGGAAATACAACACCTCTCAGCTCTGTCTATGACTAGAGAATCCCTGCATTCTGTTCTGTCCAGGCTTCCCCTCAAAGAAGGTGCAAAGGTAAATCAAATCATGTTCCTCTGTTATGTTTTTTGGACCTCAAAACAAGTTTTTTATTGTCTCTGTTATTTTCCAACAATTCCTGAGGTTTTTAGGTGAACATCGAATCAGCTGTGACTTTGTTTAAGACCGCGGAAGCAGTCACTGATGCTATCATTTCAACATTAAATAGTTATGCTCCAACGGTAAGTTGTTCCGGCTCTGCGGGTAAATGTGACATGATTTAGTAGTATCTAACCAGTGTAATAAAACTAAAATCTTCCATTAGCAGATGGAGTTTATTGTTCCACTGGCCTCCCAACTTGCGGAAGTGGCTGCACAAGAGAAACTGATGCTGGAGCAATGCCATGATCTTATGAGAATGGTTTCCGAGTTAGAGGTACAAAAAATGTGTGTGCATGAACATTTGAAGACCTGATCTGATATGTTCTGTTTTTGATCATGTTTTGGGATGCATGCAGATGCAGGAGAGGAGCTTGAAGTGCTGCTTCATGATTCAACAAAAACAGACTTTTTGATACAGAACTTGGGTAGTAGCAGACCATGTCAAAGCTTTGCGTCTCTGTTTTTTTATATAAAAGCAAAATTTAGTATCATGATTCAACTGAGCTTTTTTTTAGTTCTTCCACTTAATTATCAGTGATGTCATTTAGACTGAATCAAATCAAAACTGACATTAACCAACATGTATTATACGATCAAATAGGAAATGTAAAGAACTTTCTTGGTTGGAAAACAGATCATGGATTAAAAATTTAAGTTGGTAACCTCAAATAACACCAAGAGAAGCAAAACAAAAATCCCAAAAAAACCTTAATAGTGTAATCAATAGAAAAAAGTAAGATAATTATTCAGTTGCCTTGAGCTGCTGCATGCGGCAGCATCCGCTGCTAACACTGTTGTAGTCAGTGGGACTCAACTTGCTAAGCTTCCCAAGTTTTGTTTCATAGTTTTGGATCAAATCATACCTATACATATATATATATATATATATATTGCAAGAAGAAGCAATATAAATATTCATAAACTATGCTTAGCTCAAATAAATATATAAGATTAGAAACTAACCAGTAGGCTAAACACTGGAATGGAGAGAATCGGTCGTAAAATGATTGTGCTGTTTTCTCAAGCGTCTCTTTCGAACACTCCTCCATTTCATGCACCTCCAAACATTACATGAACATATAATTAAAGGCCTGTTCAACTAGATTAGTGATAAATATATATAAACTGTAAAGGGAGTTAAGTATACCTCACGTAAGAGCCTTAAGGTTTCAGTATCGGATGGAACAAGATGGTAATAACCCATACACATAAGCACTGTAGCACTAGCAAAAGGACCAAACCCCTTTAACTTTTTCAGTTTCCCAACCACTTCATCCACTTCCATCTCTCCCATTTCCATCTTTTCAAGATTCAGTGAACCATTTGCAACCTTCTTTGCTAAGTTAACTATCTGATTTGCTCTGTACCCAAGTTTACAGTGCTCATTGATCACATCTTTATCAAGACTTGCTATTTCCTTGGCACTCGGGAAGTTTCCATTAGCTGATTTCCATGGTTTTGGGTTTAGCCTTCTCCTTTTCGGTACGCTAAGAGGCTTAACTGTGCCATCAGCTAGCTTTGATTGCAATTGGCAGAGACGAGAAGCCATGAGTAGTGTCTTACCCCAATCAGCATTACACAACAAAATAGACTTGACCATGTCTTCAAAGAGAGATGGAGACCGGAAAATCCGACCGAAACCACTCTCCCTTGCGGCCTCATGGACTTGTTGAAACTCAAACATGTCACGTTCGTCCTTGTCTGATAATCTCAGCATCCTCTCCACTTGCTTCAAGATGAGCTCTTCGTCAACTCTAGAAACATTGTTGATGGCGTGGACTTGGATCACAAGAAATGAGAGTCCGGAGGGATGAGAGATGGTCACATCCGTGGAAGAAGAATCCGAAAGTGTTAACGGTCGATGTAATGACTTTGTTGAAGGGTTCCACACGTTTGGAGCCATCATGAAGAAACCATGGTTACACACTGCTTTCTCCATATCGAATGTTCCTTTCTTCTCTCCAAGATGAAGTCTCAAATTCATTTCTTTTGATCTTGATCTTTTTTACTTTCTTGGCTCAAAACTCCATTTTCACACTCTTTCTCTATTACATTTTCTATAGTTGTCATCCTTTTATTTAATAACGTTTAATTAATGGACACACACGTATGTATATACTTTTATACCCTAAATATTCTCTCTAGGGTTTTGGAAAGAGATGTTCTAAGTGACTTTTATACACAGTATTTTTTGCGTAACTAACAAATTTTTTCATAATATTTTGTTCCCTTTACATAGAGATACAATCTATATATATTAGGGACATTACCATTTGAGCTATCATTTGTGCCATTTTTTTCAAGATTGAGATTCACTTTACTTTTTGTAAATGCAATTAAAATAAAATAAATATTCTTGTGGCGGTGCTGTATAATACCAGTAATATATAAATTAACCTAAAGAAGTTGTGAAGTTGTGAAGTTGTAAAGCCGGAAAGCAAAAACCTCTAAAGTCAGTCACTTGAGAGTCACGTACGTAAACCCTAAAATGTCTAAGAAACGAGAAGATCCGCCGCCAGCTTCTTCAAGCGAAGAAGAAGTCTCGGAGACCAGAAGCGGGGAAGATGACGAGTCTTCCTCGGAGGGAGAGGATGTTGTATCCTCACGCAAACCATCAGCCGTGACGATGAAGCCAGTAGTTGCTCTGGCCGCCCCATCGGAGAAGCAGCAAGTTTCTGATTCCGAATCTGGATCGGATGAAGAAAGTGATGATTCCGACTCCGAACCAGAGAATGTTGAGACGAAGCCTCCTCTAACTCAATCCAAAGACTCTTCTGTCCTGAAGAATGAGGTGAGTGATTCCGAATCCGAAGCAGAGAAGAAGGATGACGCTGTGACAAAGCCGACCGTAACACCGTCCAAAGATTCTGTCTTGAAGAATCAAGATTCCAAGAAGGTGAAAAGCTCGGAGAACTCTGTGGCAAAGCGTGCTCGTGAGACAGATGAAGGAGTTTCATCGGATGTGAAGAAGGTCAAGAAGGTTGTCTCAGCCTCTCCCTCAGGGGAAGAAGAGAAGAAGAAATCTTGTTTCCAACGAGTTTGGACTGATAATGATGAGATTGCGGTTCTACAAGGTCTTCTTGATTTCAGAAAGGATACTGGGGTAAGTCCTTATGATAATACAAATACGGTTTATCAGCTCGTGAAGAAAAATATTAGCTTTGATGTTAGTAAGGTTCAGTTCATGGAAAAACTTAGGAGTTTAAAGAAGAAGTATGAGAACAATCTTGGTAAAGCCGCCAAGAATGGTGATGATCCTACATTTGCCAAACCTCATGATCGCAAGGCTTTTGAGTTGTCTAAGCTTGCTTGGGGAGCTATTGAAAAGGCTATTGAATCAGCTGTGAAATCTAATGGGAAGTCGAAGCAAGTTGCTTGTGTGAAGCATGAGCATGATTCTTCTTTGGTCAATGCTATAAACTGTCAAGATCTTAGTGCCAAGTCTTCTTCTCTTGTTAGAACGCTAACACGTTTTGGTGTTGATGAACTTGCTGCTCAACAAGGACTGGATAGGCTTACCTCAGAAGATAAGAAGAGTCTCGAGGAGCAGTGGAAGGCTTTGCAGGTTAGGGAATTTGACTTCTATTCGCAGAAGACCGGGTTTGTTCATCAAGTGCTAGCAAAGATGGCTGAAGCATTTCGATCAAACGCTTAATTTATTTTTTGGTTCTGTCTTTTTTTTGCCTTGAACTCTATTTTAGTTTCTATTAACTCTTGAAAGAGTTTATTTTCGGATATTGGAAGCAGTTTTAAGTTTATTTATCAAAGTGGATTTTCTTTAATTGTTTCTTCTCAGCAAGATTTAAGCTCATTTTTCTACTTGAATTCAAATGGCTTCCACACAGCGATCGAGAGCAACCTCCATTGATGTTTTTGACTTTTGAAATCAAAAAGGGAATCAAGAAAAGGCCTCAACGTAATATATAGCCATGGAGTTTTTCTCATTTAGGTTACTCTTTGCTCTGCGTTTACTAGGACAGTGCTCTTTTATTTATCATAACAAAATGATTGTTGGATCCTCTCTCACCATCAATGCATAGATCAATAGACTCAGGAGCGTGAGGAGGGAAATCTTCAACCATCGTCCAAGACTTTCCATTTCCCAAATTCAAAACCATAAGGTCCTCAGCTAAACCACGACGCAACCCAATATATATCGAGTCTTTTAGTCATACACAACAATTTGTAGTCACCATGAGTGGGATCATAACCCAAGTAGTGGTACATATCTCTCCTCTGAGAATAAATCTAGGGCAGAGTACGTAATAGATTGTCTGGTGCTAGGTTTATATACCATAAGTTTATAACAAATCAAACCATGAACAGAGGCAGAAATATTTTTGAACGGCTCAGGATATAGCTTTTCATATGGTAACTTGCTTTCAGAAGTTGTTGATGATTCACCTCGGAGAATAGATTACAAAATAATATAGTTATGTCCACATTACTAAACTGTCATAGTAACACTTTTTTTTTGGACTCATCATAGTAACACTTTAAAATTAAATAACCTTTTTTTTGACATAAGGAAAAAAATTAAATAATTTAACTAACTCATTAAGCTTTATATATATGTTTGTCAATCACTCAAAAAGTGCATTTCGACATTTGTCAATTTATTTCTAAGTACTACTGTAGTAGTATATATATATATATGCGATTATTTTTTCCCATTGCTTGTCACCGAAGCAAGTTTTTACCCACGTTACATAATTTGATTGGTTTCATATTTATTTTGTAAGATTTTGAACAAGTAAATATCTGAGGTTTGGGTAGCTAAAACGCGTGTCATCAACGAAACCCTATATACACGACACGACGTCATGATACTACGGCTGATGATGCACAAGGCTAGCCCTAACCTACATGGCTACATCCATCTCCATCGTCCAAAATTTACTGCATCAACGGTAATTCTAGAGTAGTACATACCAAACAGTACATAATAGTACAATTTTTAGTACCGACCTATTCTGAATGCATTATATATGTGGTCTCTCTCGAAGAAAAGTACATGCAAATGGCTCCGAGGATCACAACCATCGGAAACTATTACACTCACCAAGACTACTCTGTTGATTTCTTTGGAGATGAATTGATCGTCACGGTAACTCGAACTCCATCCGTAATAAGACAATGGATCAACAAGGTCCACTTCTTCAACCGTTTCACCTCACACCCTCTTGTTGTCGGAGTTGGCGTCTATTGGACACTGCTTTCTCCAGCTGATACTCTCCAGTTATGCGTTGGTACACGATGTATCATCATCCAGCTTTCTCACTGTGACCATGTCCCCTATGCTCTCCACAATTTCTTAGCTTGTTACACGCACGTTGGTGTGTGGAATAGTCAAGACGCAAAAAAGCTAGAGCAATGTAGACATCAGTTGAAGATTGGGAAACTCTTGGACATAAGGAAGTACGTTGAAGGTTCAAGAGGGAGCCTTAGGGGTTGTTCGTTTGAGGAGATTGTTGAACAATGCTTGGGTTATCGTGGCGTGAGGGCAGATCCGGAGGTAAGCAGGAGCGACTGGAGCGTTTACGATCTTTGCCACGATCAGATCCTTCAAGCTTCTATAGATGTTTATGTTTGTTATAAGCTTGGTGTTACGGGACGTCTATGGGAAGTATGATAAAAAGTTGCAAATCTGGAATTGTTGTTATATTGTGAAGAAATATCTAAGCTTCTTGTTAATGTCTTCCATGTGTAAAATTAAAATAGTATAATTAGCATCTTATTATTTTTTTTTATTATTTTTTTTTAATGTTGCTAAATGAAAATGTTGTAAAATATTATTAAGGATTTAAAAAAGGTTTGTAAATGTTATGAGTTTATATCGTCATACCTTTGATGGATTGATTGAGTTTTATTGTAAAGATGCTTCAGTACCGGTTCTATCGGATTATTTATATATGGGAAATTAATTAAAGGCTATTGCTTCTACATTAAGGTGCATAAACATTATAATTACGTACTTAATTAGCTTCTTCTAATTCATAATCAAATTATTTGCCATGTTGTAGCAGTTCCAATAATATTTGCATACATATATCCAAATACAAGTTGGTGAGATATATATTCTGTTAAGCAAACAATAAGTGAAAAATGCATGAAAGGGTAGTAATAATTTATACGTCCACAAGTCTTCGGTCTTCCTACAGAAATGTTTTTACAGTTTTGGTTTTGTTTTGTCAAAAGCTAGATATAAACAGGTCCATTAACACGAATACATCAAATATAGACTAACACAGGTTGCACTAATATATATATATATACATGCATGTCCACATGATCATAAAATCGAATAATTTAATTAACTCATAAACTTTTATATGTCTCATAAACTGTTCCTTTTTATATATATAATATATATGTCTCACATTCAAAATTAGCACCCATTTATCACTATTTTTTTCTTCTTATTATTATAATAATGATCAGGTTTTTTCATTGCTAAACACCAAAATCAAGTGTTCACCCACGTTTTAGGTTTTGATTGGTTGCATATCTCTCAACTCTTGAGTAATTTATTTCGGCCTTGGGGTTGGGGTATTAGATAAAACGCGTGTCCGATGATTTAAAAGGCTATATAGCCATAAACCTACATCCATCTCAACCGTCCAAAACTACGTTATCAATTCACTACAATCAAATCAACCACTCTCTCTCTCTCTTGTCTCAAAGCATTCATTTGTGTTTTCTCTTCTTGAAGAAAGTAACATGCAAAATCAGTGGCTCCGAGTCCGATCGAGGAGGATCACCACCAACCATCACCAACACCACTCTGTCGATTTCCAAAGGTACTTAAAAACTCAAATCCTTTTCTCTTTTGTTTCACTGTTGTTGATGGTATTTTGCCTATTTGCTGATATATATTCATTTTCTTAAATTTCCAAACTGATCATTTAAACGAAACAACTAAAGTGAGAAAATGGATCACGATTCACGAGACCCTTAAATTTTTTTGTTTTTTTTTGGTAACTAGCCTTATACACACACATATACTCTCTTCATCTTCTTTCGACAATTTTTTTTTTTTTTTTGTAAGGGCGCTTAAATCCACTTAAATGCTATATACTAGTACCAATCAAGACTCAAGAGACTACTTTAATTCACCCTAGTAGGTGGCTCTTTTAAATAAAACGCAAGCCATTTCACCTACTTTAATTTCTTGATTTGCAGCCTGTACTCCAAAACCACCAAAACCTCTTCATCTCCTTCAAAACTTGAAATAGAGAAGAAGACTCAAGCTACTTCCACCAAGGTACGTATCACTAATGCTTTATTTTATCATTTCATCAACATTCCTTTCCTAGACAGAATCTTACACTCTTTGAATCTTATACATGTTTGTAGCCGAAACCATCCATGACGACTTTAATCGACTCATACGCTGTACAATGTGCAAAGTGTAAGAAGCTGAGATATATAGAGGCACAAGAAAAGTATGAGGAGATTCGAAGTAAATCACCACACACATGCTTTGAATGCAAGAGCTGTGAAGAACTTGGAGATGTACATGTGGATGTGGACTCTCCTAATGTGCGTTGGTTCTTGGATCAACATGGTATACCCAAAACTCCTAAAGGGTGGAAGAGGATTTTGGTTGTTAGAGGAAACGGCGAGAAAGTGGATGTTTACTACGAAACTCCTCAGCAAAAGAAAGTAAGGAGTCCCAAACAAGTCGCTAAATTCATTCAAGACAATGAAGAATTCAAAGACGACGTTAAGATGGAAGAAATTTCCTTTGTTGCTCCCAAACGGATGAAGAAACCAAAGTCTTAAAGGATGTTTGTTGATAGCATTATATCTCAATTTATGTCTCTTTCGTGTTATCATTTCATGTTGAACAAATTCAAACACTAGAATAACTTTTCTTTTGATTTTATTTTATTATGAAGTTAAGCCTTTAATTCGATTTCTATATCTCTTTGCTTGCTCGTAACATATGAATTTTAGAAGGATTCTTTTCATTTTCTCATATTTGATGATATGTTGATGTTAACTAAAGACTCAAAAGTTGGTAGTTGAATTCAAAAATACATCTAAACATCAGATTTCGTGGTAATAGAATTGAGAGAGATCATCAAAAGAGTGAAAATAAAATAGAAAAGTCCAAAAGACGAAAGCCTCGGACTGAGAGGGAGGGTTTCAGCCAGGTGATATCAAGAACAAATACGGCGTCGTTCAGATGAAGAAACAACATTTCTTAAAGTTTCGGATTGATTCGATTCACTCTTCCTCTCTTCCTTCATCAATATCCCAAATCAATCTCTCTCCTCCTCGAAACGTCTCTTAGGAAACCCTAAAATCAGAAGTTGAGATCGATGGCCTCCTTCGCTCGCCGAGCCATGAGCTTAGCTCAGATCCAATCTGCCCGTGTTCCCGCTTCTATTGGTCAGCGACGTGGTCTCGCCGGCGCCGCTGGTAACTCCTCTCTCTCTCTCTCTCTCCCTCGTCCTTCTCTTTTCGCATTTGATTCGAATCTATGATTGTTTCGGTAGGGGGCGCATAGCTTATTTCGCACATTGTTTATCTAATTCGTGATTTTTTTTTTGGTTTTCACGAATTCTCGGTGAACAAATGTTACAGCTTTGCCAAGTTTTTTTATGTAAATCTCGTGTTTGTTATCCTTGGAGTAGCTCAAGTTAAATCACTGTGTAATCTTTTGAAATAAGAATATGGTTTTGAGCAATTTTTGTGGATTTTTGCGTTTTGTGCAGATCACCATGGATCTACCAAGGTTGACTTCTGGAAACAGCCCACGAACCCAGGAAACTGGAAAGAGGAGCATGTATGTCTATCATCTTTACTTTGTCTGTTTGTGTAATTTTTTTGACTCAGTTTTTGTTATTTGACACCAAAGTTGATATATTGATCTCTTCTTCCCTGACCAATGTGTGCAGTTTGTGCTTATTTCTCTTTCTGGCTGGGGATTACTTTTCTACAGTGGATACAAGCTCGCCACTGGGGGAAGCAAAGAGGTACACTTTCTCTTGCTCTTGCTCTTCCTCCATTGCAGAGGAGCTTCATGTTCCTTCCCTTATACATAGTTTATTCTATCTTTGCAGAGGAGCTTCATGTTCCTTCCCTTATACATAGTTTATTCTATCTTTGCAGAGGAGCTTCATGTTCCTTCCCTTATACATAGTTTATTCTATCTTTGCAGAGGAGCTTCATGTTCCTTCCCTTATATATGTTTTATTCTATCTTTGCAGAAGCCTGTGGAGAGTACACAATGAGTTTCATTGTCACCCGGAAGAAGACCTTTTATGGAGAGACCTCTCATTCTCATGCACTTTGTTTTCCCTTTCAGCATATTGTGACTGGTCTTATGTTTCATTTGAAAATAATATGCATCACTTTTGTGATTTGATGATGTCTGCAATGGATGATTCTTGACAGTTTTGTGTTTCATAATATCCTATGTTTTAAACAGACAGGATTTAAACGAAAGCATTGTCTCGCGATACGTATCTTGATATAGGCTTTGGATTCTTTTACTTTGTGTCGTTTGGATGCCAGTTTTTTGTTGGAGGTGATTCTGCCCATTTGAAAGTACATGTTGACTGATTCAAATGTTTGTAGTTTCTCTTGTCTACAGCTTTTACCAGCACTAGTAATGCGTTTAACTTGACATAGTTTCTTCAGTATACTAATAGACTATTACCTTCACTGCTTGCTTCTTGTGTATTTGTGGCCTTATGTGTATCTGGCGAGGTTAAAAAAGTTCAAATTAGATTAGGTGCAAGTTCTCTTCCCGTATTGGAGCTAAATTAGCTTTCGAAGCCCGAGTTGTTCTTTCAGTTGTTTGTGTTTCCTACTTGGTCTCTCCAGTCACAAAACAGGTGCAACAAGGTAATGATTAAAAAAAAAATGCAGAGCATCCACCATACAGCAAAAGATTTTGCAGAAGAATTAAGTAAGTTAGAGAAAGGAAGTCAAATGAGTTGGGTGTTGGTGGTGAAGTCGAGGCAAGTCTGGCAGTTACAATCAGGGAAACGACAGAGCTTGCAGCCAAAGCAGACACAAGAAGTGCAGCCTTTGCAGGAAGGAGAGCGAGTGCATCCTCTGTATACTTTCCTGCTTCCTCTTTCTTCCTCGTCTTCACATGTTATCTTTTCGTATGGATAATCGCAACACTTCCAGTTGGGCTCAGCCATGGCATCATGGTGCACACGGCATTCACCTCTGGTCCGCAACCTGAACCTCCGTTCCTTCCCGCATCTGCTGCACGCAACTAACTCATCCCGATGAACGATTTTTGATACATTGGATTTCTTTAATGCTTGGTTGTAGTATCTGAGCAACACAGTCTTTGAAAGTGGAACCTTGTCTCCCCCGACAAACACCCACACATTGTTCCTCCAGTTTCTAGAGGTCTCTCTCTCGGAATGCTTCTCGAAGGCAGCAGGCGTTAACTTGTCTACCATCATAAAATCAAAGCTGTCAAGATCACTTTAATAGAAACTTGAACATGTGATTTAAAATGCATTTAGCAACTAAAAAACCATCCTTGCATGGCTCACACCAAGGCAGAGACAGTTTGCACTGTATTCTTGACACTATCATAAAATCCAGTTGTTGAGGTAATCTCACGCATCCATTCACATGAAACATATGCGTAATTACTGATAACCAATTTAGCTAAAAAAGCATGAAGTAAGAGAGAGAGAAGAGAGAGACCTTCTTGGCAAGCAGGAGTGCATTGGCAGGTGATGAGAAGTTCTCCATCTGAGAAAACCCTGAGCCTAGCAATGGCGTCTCCGTAACGGTGGCTAGTGCAGCCACACATAACCTCGACGTAATCGTCTCCCACATGGAGATCACTTATTTCTTGCAGCTCCTCTTTGCTGAACAACTCCTTCGACCCACATTCTCTCTCCATCTCAGGATCCGGACAAGCAAAAAAACGAAGAAGGGCTTAATTCGTAATGTTGTGTCTCAACGAAGCAACATTTATATAGGGATTAGAGCCCTAAACACCAAGGGACAACAAGGTAATTTGACATGAGTAAAGGAAGAAAAAAAGCCCTAAAAGGAAGAACTAGCATCAGTAGCAAAAGGATCTGATAATTATATCAAAATCTCAAAAGGGTTAAAAAGCTTTTGGAGTAAAACAAAACAGAGAGACTTAGGGGAATTTGAAAGACACTATACAGACAGAGAGAGAGAGATGATGGATGCGAATTAGGTGGATGGCCAAAGAAAAACACACCAAGTCGTCGTGGGAATTGTGAATCTTTTTATAAATAGGAATTCTCATTTATTAACATATTTACGTAACGTAACGTACATACATAGAGATGTACACTTGTAATTTGTTGTGATTTGTCCGTATTTGGTTGGTTGATTGAATATATATAAGACAAGAGATTAAGTAAGCTGCTTTTCTAAACCCACAGATAAATTAAATTACCTCTTCTCTCTTTTTTTTTTTTTTTTACTCACTTTAGTTAGAGCTCTCTGTTTCAGTATAATTAAGGTTAGTTTCTACAGGTTTCATGGGTTTATAATGCTTTTTTTTCTTTGAGTTAGGTGTATATGACAGTCGCATCTATGTCCTTATTATTCTCAATTGCGGCCCAACAACCCCTATGTGCCCAATGCATATGCAGAGACCAGTACACACACACCTTTAACTTTAATTGTCTCTGTCAATGTGTGTAGGCATGTCATAAGTTACATGTATAACAACGTATACAACAACATTACCTCCTCCTCCTCCATCTTATTGCAAACCCCAAAATTCATCAACCAAGAAGATACAACTCAAGTCAATAATGAGCCGCACCAAACTCCACCTCATCCCCACGTTGTTCTTAGAGACTTTTTGACCCTCAAATTTTACCTACGACCCAAATTAATATTAACTAATAGCATGTATAGTTGTCTTTTCATTTTTTATTAACAAATCATATACATACACCACAGCCTTCATATCTATAAACTTAGAAAAATTGCCATCTAGATATGCATAAGAAATCAGATTTAACAACTGATGCAAAAGGCACACTAAAGAACTCTCTCACAGTCATGTTGTCGTTAAGGCAAAACACCAGTGATGAGAATTTATGTTTTGGCCTCTCAATGAACGTATCATCATCTTTGATCATTTCACTTTTGCTAGATTTCAATCTATACTCATGGCAATACATTATAGCATATTAAACACAAGACGAAGATAAATGGTCGATGTCGGTAATAATACTTGTTCTACAAATGACAACATCATACTGTTTTCTTTTGTTTTACTCTGAAACTTTTGAACTGATGCTCAAGTCCATATATCTTTGAGCAATCTGGTCGGGTGTATAGTCAGTATAATACCCTTTTCCCACAAGCAGACCTTCCTCTCTGCCAAGCCTCTCAATCAGTTCTTGTACTTCCTCTCCTCCGACTTGGCTTGGATTCAACAGGTTACAAGCGACCTCTATAACTCCTTCCCCATGCACAAGCGCCATTGTCTGCACTGAAGCCAAGCCCCCTCCTCTCTCGCTCGCCTTCCTTGCTACTCTCCTCACTGCCTTGAGATTGTTTGACATCACTGGTACGTTATAGTTACTCACCCACCCGCACGCCCCAACCGCTACAACCCCTTTGGTTTTGCTCACCTCTTGTGGCCCTGCGTCTGGCTTCACTGGCACCATCTCCAGCTCCAACCCACCTGCCCATTCATTTCCCTCCCTGTTTGCTCTGAAGTACCCCAGTTTCCTTCTGATCGAATCCAGCGTGCACTGCTCCTTTTCTGCTGCTCCATATAGATATGTAGGAACTGCACCAGGGAGGGTCGTATATCTCAGTCCACATACCAATACAGCGAATGCTACAAAGACTTTCATTTTCTATGGCCTAGACGATGATGAGACATTAAAGCCAGGATGTAACTCTGCCTATCACAAAGTACACATCAACTACAGCCTACAAAAACTACAAACAATGCTCTGCTAAGAATACTAACCACTACAAAGACTTCCATGTTCTATGGCCTAGAGATGATGAGATAATAAAAGACATGACATCACTCTGCCTATCACAAACATCAACTACAACATACAAACAATGTTCTGCTGTTAGCAGAGTATTACTTCGAAGACTTCCATATTCTATGGCCTAGAGATGATGAGATAATAAAAGACATGACATCACTCAATCTATCACCGAGTATACATCAAATACAGCAAACAAACAATGTTCTGCTCTTAGCTTAATAAGTGTCTTTTAAAATTCAGGAACTCACATGTTTGTGCCCTAGGTCTTCTATTAAATACTGACCTCTAAGAATGGAGCCGATGTCCATTGCTAGGGAATTGGCAACGGAAGAAACTTGGTCTAAAGAGGTTTGAGACAAGGGGTGAAAGCATATGTGGTCGACCACTCCAAGGCGGGGATGGGATCCAGAGTGCAACTCAAGGTTGATGGTGTCGAGAGCAGTCTTAACCATTGCAAACACCGCATTCTTAAGGGGAGAAGATGAGCCACTACTAGCAAGCGAGGATACAACAGTGTAACCGACCCTGCCATAAGCGGCATCTTCAAACTTGTTGACGATTGCAGCAGGTGGAAAAGGCTTTACAGCTCTCTCAATGGCTTCGAGGGCCGTCTTATTCCTCGCTTCAGATATGTAAACCTTGCAGCAACCAAGCATTTCTCTCAACATCTCCCTCCGACCACCACCTATAGATATATGTAGAGATGTGAGTGCGTTTTGTTCGTTACAAGGATAATAAAAAACAGAAGCTCTGACTCTGACATTATCCACCACATTAAGATTTGTGGTCAGCAACACACATGTCCAGATTAAAAGGAAAAGCCAATAGATTGTCTACACGCCTCTTAAAAGAGAGAGAGAGAGAGAGAGATTGGTAAAGATAGAAACTTTAAAAGATACATACATACAAATACAATACAAGAGGTCGTCGTCCTAGAAGTCGAGATTGGAGGAAGGATTAGGGTATCCATTGTACTCCAATTGTTTCTTGGGAATGCCGAGAGATGCGCAAATGATGTTGAATTTGACTCTGAGGTCATCCTTGATCCCGTCTTTGGCTTCGTCCTCGGGATCCAAAAGAGGGAACTTGAGGAGCAAGACATGGAAGTCATTGAGATGCTTGTGGAGCTGAGGGGAGAAGCGAGTGGGATCGATACGGAGAGCTGAATTCCAAAGAAAAGAGCAGCCTTTGTAGAATCCGATGAGCTCCCCTGTCTCGAACCCGAGTTTCAAACCAAGATGACGAGCGTCTTCACGACCCGACACAAGACCCTCTTTGTAACCCTCGTCGAAGCCTTGTTGAATATGTGTCTCCTCTAAACGCACGACACAGTCGAGGAAATCATCTTCGTTCAGACCAGCAGAACTCATAGAAACTTGTTTTGTATTGTTGTTGACGAAAGCTAAATCAGACTGAACACCCAAACCAAACAGAAGAAGAAGAGTATAGAGATCGATCTGTGATATGCTTAACAAGGTCGAACAAGGAAAGAGATTATCAAAACTCACCAGTTCGATTCGATCGATTGCACTTGCCAGCAGAACCAATCAATCAATGGAGGAGGTTGAGTGAGAGAGAGACGTCAAAATGTTTTTCTTTTTGTTAAATTCAATTTTAGGGTAAAGGATAAATAAACTGGACATGATGAATACTTGGGCCTTTGTTGGGTCAAAAGTTAGCGGCCCAATATAGCTGGTGCAAGCCGACATGATATAAATAATTTCTCCGGCTATGGAGATTGGTAGTTGCAAAAGACTAGTGAAAATGTTAAGATAGATGCAAAAAAAGACATCACGACACAGCAAAATAGAACAAATCATCTGATCTCCAAGATCGTCATCCCTTGTATTGTATCTTCGCTCTTTTTCTTCTTCTCGTGTTTAACTTTGACTCCGAAAACTTAAGAGGAGTCGGTAAAGTTGCAACCAAAATTGACTTCTCCCACGACAATTTGCAGCCAAGACTGGCAAGATGTTTCCTCAGCTCGATAGCACTCATCTTCAGATCTTTAGCTATGTCCTCTGGATCGGTCTTGAAGTTATCCACATGAAGGGCGAGCACAAGCACGTAGCTTATCATAAGGTTGGTCTTGTCAATAGAGATCTCATTCAGGAAAGGATATTTCTTGAACAAAGTGACACATTTCTGATGGATGATTCCTGGAAACTTATGGCCTTTAGCAGAAACGAAACCACCCGTTGAGTACATGTTTTTGAACTTAACCAGATGTGTGAGGAGTGATAAGGCAGCAGAAAGCATCTTCTTCTCGGAATCATCCTGCAAACAGAACATAATGAAACCAAAGCATAAGGTGGTGGTGCAAGCCAACATGATATATATATTGCGTGTGAATCAAGTGTTACCTCAATATCTCGCAACTTGTGCAATCTGTTGCGGACAAATAGCGGGTAAGCATTGACCGCTGCTGCAACAGATTCATCTTGGAGAAGGAGGTAAATATCTTGAAGGGAGTCCCATTCTTCCTCTTCGATGATTTTATCTAAAGGATAAGCTTTAATAGGAGTAGTTGCAGAGGCATCATAAGGAGGAATGTTGCGCGCAACAATACAACTGGTGCTTCTGTTACTATCTCCAATATTCATATTGTCCTGCTCCTGCATAGAGAGACACATTGCATCATTTTAGAAATAGACATTGTAATCCTCTCAAGATAACTAATATCAAAGGCTCTAATCTGATGATCTGTAAACATGCCAGCCACAAAGAAGCGATTAATCAACAAAACAACAACAAACAAAAAGAAAGAAAGAAAAAGAAGAAAGCAGAGTATCAACCTTATTGGTAGCAACCGGAAGAATTCTGATCCTCTTGGTCTTTCCGTTACCAAATCCCAATGCATATGTATTAGTCCCCGGAGCAGCAGCCTCGCCGGAGAAGCTAGTTCCCGTGAAGTACACGTTTGCACGAGGCGGGCTTACCACAACCTCAAACCTCTCATTCGGCTCATCCTTATCCCTGCAAACCGTTACCTTAGGGGTTTCATTAACTTTCTCGCCTGTCTCTGGATCTTCCTCACAAGTATTGTCATCTTCGTGATGATCTGTGGAGTTGCTAGCTCCGGACTCTTGATTATGGTGTTCGTCTCCCATGGTGATGCCTGCAAATACACCAAAAAACACTATCCTCTCTTACAATAATGAGATAATAAAACAAAACCCTGTTCTTAGTTAAATAAAGTAACTCTCAGTGTAGATTTCAAAACAACAAGCCCTTGTTCACTCTACATACTGGTCTACTTAGACGAATATAGATATATAGGGTTTAAAACAAAAAGAAGACGAACGGTTGCGTACGAAAGAGAAAACAAACCTTGTTGTTCAAAGTGTAAATCTCCTTGAGCGTCTCTAGTTCTAATCTCCCAAGCTCTTGTGCAAAAGAGTTACCACCAAATGGGACTTCAGAGAAGAGAACGATGTAGCATATACAGTGGAGTGGAGTGGAAAACCCTAAATTTAATCTCGACTGCTGGTGGTTTCATTCATTATATGGTTATATAATATCTCCTCGGTCAGGGCCGGCCTAAACAATTGATTTTGCCCCCAAAAATTCCCAAAAATCTAGTGCACAAAATTATTGCGCCTCCAAAATTTTTCAGTTTGACAAAATAGGCTCCCAGTTTTTTGTTTTTTGAAGTTTCAAACATAACCCTTTGGCACTAAACGTATAGCTTCAGCTTGTGATCCGAGATCTCCACCCATTACCAAATTTTATGTCTCGTATTTTATTAGAGATAGTTCATATGTATAATGTTTTCTAGTATTATATGACTTATATAATTTTTCATCATGTTGTCACTATATATTGATATATTCTAAAATAATACAAACAATGTATGTTTATATATTAACTATTAAAAGTGAAAGTGGATGTATATAGCAATTGATATATAAAATTGGAATAATGGTATTATATAGTGAAAAAGTTGATTATAATTTAGGATTTTTATGAACAAATGATTAAATACATTCAAAGTATAGATTACAAACTTTATAAAAAATAAAAATAATTTTATCGAACATGAGTAAATGGAATAAATTTTTTAGTTTATCCCATTTACATGTTGTTTTATGTTTACAAAGTATGGTATTATATTTTTTAAGTGCAAGAAGTGAAAAAAAAAAAATTGTTGCCAAAAGCATCAACTGTTATCCTATGCATTTAGTACATACGCGTCTTTGCCTTAAACAAAAGAAAGAGAGACAGAGAGAGAGAGAAGACGCCTTGAATGGTTCAAGCTGTATAGCAAGTTGGTGGATTATTCCTTCGTCTTAACTCTCTCAAGGGAAGCGAAGCACAAATCACATTCGTGTGGCTTTCTGCTTTTTCCCACTGACCAAACTTGTTTTCAAGAGAGACTTTTTAAGTAAATGGATCACTTAGCATTAGTCAAAAGCAGAGAGACAAATAAGGATTTAAGTCAGAAAGAGAGAGAGAGAGAGAGACAAAAAATAAACTCATTAGCTAGGAGTCTAATAAGGTAGCTAGGCAATCAAGCGACATACAATGGCAAGTAGCTTGTCGATAAAAACAAATGAATGAACACTCAAAACACTCAATGGTAAGATTTGAGGACAGCGCCGCAGAAATGGCAGACAATAGCCTTCCAAGCTTTGTGGTAAAATGGTACTCCGCAGAATGTTGTGGAGGTTCTCATGTCCGCAACCACTGCTCCTCCTCCGCATCTCGAGCACAACCCGGCCGCGGGCTTTCTCCCCCGGACTTGCTTCCTCTGGTCTACAAGGAAACAGAAGATGGCCATTTCTTTTTATTCTTCTTGAATGTTGTTCTTGTGTTTCTTTTTTACTTCAGCCTTCTCAGCTTAGTGTGTGTGTCTTAAATAGCAAGTTTTGGAGTTATCCAACCGTTTAGATGGAGGCCGTGTGTCACACACAGATACAGCTGGCTCGCTGACTTCCATTGACTTTTGTATATTTTTTTCAATATTTCAAAAACTTGACATTGAATTATAATCACCCACTTGTGCAACAACATCTTCTCATCATCACTCTGTCTCAACTGTTTGACTATTTAATACCACAGAAGCCCATTTCCTCATTTACTACACCCATTGACTTTTCTGTTCGTAGCAAAACATTATTTTACTACAAAACGATGCCTAATCTAATTCTAAAAGGCCAACCAATACGTTAGTCGTCATCACTTATGTATTTGGGGGACATATTCACAAGTCCTGTGAGCGGGACATTGTTCATCAAAATTTGGAGCTTCTTTGAAAGACGATTCACTGTAATCTTAGTTAAATGAAATCCGAGGTAAACAAAGGAGAAGTGAGTGGCGGAGTAAGTAATCCCTCTTGAAGAGAGGAAGGATCTAAAGTTTACTGTTTGTATGTTAAATGGGAAAAAATGGGAGATGGGTTAAAGGTGTGTGTGTATAGTGTGGTCACAGGTCAGAGAGCTGCCATCATTGCTCGTCTTGTCGCCTCCTGCTTCATCTCTGCTGCTTTCCCGCTCCCCCTGAAGTACATGTACACTTGCTGTTCCCACACAAACAGAACAACTTGTTGTTAACCACTTGTTCCCTTTTTTCTACTTATTCATATCTAAATGAATAAATGATGCAGGAAGTAAGGGAACCTGAATAACCCAGATGCTGACGAGTGACTCCAGGCAGAAGAACCCAAACCCGATAAAGTAGAATATCTGCCACCCCACCAAAAGTTAGTCACTACAAAAGTTTTAAGTTATTCCCTACCCAAGTTAAGTTTCGACTTACCCCGACCAAGATATTCCCACTCAATACGTCAATGGCCGGCAATATTCCTCTGCATAACACAACAATATATCATTCTACCTTTTCCTTTTGTGTGATTTTGAATCTATTTTGTAACTTACGTCAGAGATTTTCCCTTGAAGATAATTGGAGGAGCCACCGCCGCAAACACACAAAACCCTATGTGAAACTGCAATCATATTGTAAGCTATATTACTCACTTCCCACCTTTTGATGTGTCAAAACCATTACAAAAAAAGTTCACTAAACCAAATGGAAAACTCACCAGATATGTGAAGAAAAACCACCCAAACTTCAGAGCACTATCAGTCCTGCACACAACCAAATCAACCCAATTCTGACTCTTATTAAGATGCTATCGGGAACTTCACTCTTTTATTTTCCCCTCTTAATAAAGGAACACACCACACAACAGCAGATAATGTACAATATTTTCAAAGACCAATCTTAAGTAAAGTGGCGTGAATACGCGCATATACCTCATGGCACGATAAAGAGGGCGATACCACATAACATAAGCTCCAGGAACCCCCGATATGAAATAGATAATAGCTAGAAACCATATTGTTGGACCTACATCCAAAGTGCATAAGTCAGCAGATTGGCCTCATACAGGCTCAGTGTACTTGACAACTTTTAACTGTTCCAAGAATTACCTTCTCCCTTAATCCATGCAGTGGTAACTGCAACAATGTTCCATAACAGACACACCACAAGACCTACCAAACAGAGATTCAGACAGTTTAATAATAACTCACGAAATTGCAACTGCAGATGGGTTGATCATTTAAAAGAGGAAACACAGACCCAGCATTGATGTGAAAGCAACATATTGGATTCTCTGCAGATGGATGGGTATCTCATTTGAAATGTCATGATGGATGAGAGGAAAAAAGGGTGGCCAGTTTTTCTCTTCTATCACAATTCCGGCTACCAAAATAAAGATGAGAGTATAAGCATTACACATGGAACGATATGCCAGATTTCTACAAAAGATATAATTGACAAAGATACCCTGTGCTATAGCATCTTCTTTCCGCTTGAGTTCCTGGAAAATATCAACAACAGATTTAAGAAGACATAAAGATATATACTTGAAACTTGAAAGGTTGTAGCTACAAACTATACTGAGGTCAAAATTTACAGATTATATGATACAAGAGTGAGGTGACAGACTAAATATGCTTTCACCCATATAACACTTCTAAATGAAATGCAATCCGATGAAAACTAATCATTCTTGGTTCGGGCAAAATTAAATACCTACTGCTAACAATTTGGGGAAATGACATCATGGTATGTGACATTAGTTTGTTTCAAACCCAATCACAGCTTACCTGCTCCCGCCGCTTCAGTTCAGCCTCTTTTTCCCGGAGTTCCTTCTCTTTAGCTTTTAGATCCTAGAAGTTGGCAATCATTAAAATTGTCTCAGGGGATATCCTGAGATGTAGTTGGTACTTAGTTAGTCTTCTGTGGATGTAGGAAGTACCTTTCCGGAGTCTAGAGGAATATCAACTGTGGCACCGCGGTCATATGGCTCAGGGGGAAGAGGAGAGAGCTTTGACGTTGCGGCTGGCACAGTTCCAGGATTCTGAAAACAAAACTTGGTGAAGAACTTAAGAGAGATGTAAAAAGGAAAAAAAAAGAGGCTAAAACAATGGAGATCCATGAGCGCTTTAAAACATCAGAGACAAAAATACAGTGGACAAGAAACTGATATGAATGTGTGACAGGCATTGCAAGTAAGTAAAGCATCACAACACATTCAAGACAAGAAAAAAATATCAATGGCCTTGAAAAACTTGGATCAAGCTTCAAGTCTACTACAAGTAAGCACTAAATGGAAACCAAAAAAAGATGTAAGTGGGAAATCTAACGCTTATGCACAAGAGATAATAAAAATCTGAGATTCGTGTGGACACAAAAGAGAAGCTCATTCAAAATAACAAGCACCCAACAGGCAATGAAAAAGGCACCTAAACCATACTTTGATTGTCCTGATCCCTTCTTGAAAATTATTGAGGCTATTGACCAACTTGAATTAAGGGAAAAGTATAGATCCCTTGAAAAAACAAGCGTTACACTGATCATCAGCCTCTATTCTAACAATAGTTGGCTACCCTAGAATGAGCGAAACCATTAAGGCAAATTACATTCTTTAACTTGAAATCAATCAATCAATCGAGCAACTACGTTTTTTCCTTGTGCATTGAAACCGAAAATTCGATCCCAGGAATGGAAGTATTTACAATTAACATTACGTACACGAATCAATCAGATCAGAAACAATGTGATTCAACACGGCGGCGCTGAATAAAAAAAAAGAGGAATCCCTAAATGATGATGATGAGATTGAATCGAGCTTACCGCAAAAGGATTAACCTCGCCATCATCGAAGGAAGGAGACTGGTAGCGAGACATTTTGCACCGGAACTCAGCAGATCCAACCTCTCTAGACGGATCACACAGCGAGCGAGAGTTGAGATGAAGAACTTGGGTTAAGTTTAATTAGAGTAATTGTGTTGTGTGTTTGGCGCGTCTTGGTTTAGACCCGGTTATCTAAACCAGAAATAACCGACGAGAACCGGGTCTAAATTAAAAGGTTACCATTAATCTTAGTTGCCAAACAAACCTACAAAAAATATATTAGTTTCATGAAAGTCCAAACCACTTGCCAAACACACTAAAATACAGCCAAAAAAACATAATTAGTTAAATAAAAAATAAAAAACAAACATTATCTATATTTATGAAAATCAAATCAATTTTGTTACCATAAAAAAATGGACAATTTAGTTCAAAAATTAATATATGTAAACATATTTTTAACTTGAATTATATATTTTATGATATTTCGAAAATAATAATTTATATTTAACAAAATCAAATATAACTTATAATCATATTTGATGATGTTTCAAAGATTCTCTCTATCAAGATTAGCCCCTACCAAAAGAATGATATTTTAGGTTGGCACTATACTGAGAAGGGTAGTTACACGGTCAGGTCTGGTTATTGGTTGGCAACTCATCTCCCGGATTCAGATTGGAATTTTACTCCTCCTCCTGGTGATCCTATTCTTAAGAATGCTATTTGGAAGTCTCACACAGCTCCAAAATTGAAACACTTTTTATGGCGTGTTCTCTCTCGTGCTCTGGCTACTGGAGATGAACTTGATCGTCGTCATATCAGTTCTGCGCGAATTTGTAAAAGGTGTGACTCTGATACTGAGTCTATTGAGCATCTTTTCTTTAATTGTCCTCATGTTGTTCAGATCTGGAGAGCTTCTCACGTCCCTATTCCAAGTCTCATCAATCCGCACGCAAGCTTGGAAGTAAAGTTGAGAGATATTTTGAATTTCCATAATTATAAAGGGATTTTTGACTTGATCGCTCATTTGCCGTTTTGGATACTTTAGAAAATCTGGAAGAGTCGCAATCGCTTGGTTTTTGAACGGAAGCATAATAATTGGCAGAGAGATCTTAGAGAAGCACGTCAAGAGGCAGAAGAATGGTTTATTGTTGAATCTTCTATTTCGGAAAGGGCTAATGTTAATCATAGAAATCATATTTCTTTGCCTGTTTCTCGTCGGGGCTGGTGTAAACCTGATTTGAGTTGGGTTAAATGTAATTATGATGGAGGTTTTGCAAATAGCCAGCTCAGAGCTACTATGGGTTGGGTGATTAGAGATGATGCTGGGAGTTTCTTGGAAGCAGCCCAGGCTTCGGGTTCCTTTGTTTCTTCAGCTCTTGAAGCTGAATGCCAAAGTCTTGTTTGTGCTATGCGATCAGCTTGGTTCAGGGGTTATAAGAAGGTGATTTTTGAAGGAGACAATCTCTCTCTTGTTCGGCTTTTAACAAATTGTACTATAAAATATGATATCATCAATTGGATTCATGAAATCAAGGGCTGGGAAGCAAGATTTGATGCGGTGGAGTACTCATGGATTCCGAGATCTTCAAACTTTCCGGCTGATATTTTAACTAAATTTCAACGATTGAATATCTCTGAGTTTTCTTTTTTTACCTCTGCTTCCACTTGTATTATTTCTGCTCTGTCTAACGATTCAGTTAATTCTTAATAAAGTAGAAGGTGTTAAAAAAAAAAAAAAACTTATAATCATATATTTAAGAAAAAGAAAAATAATAAACTAGGAAAATAGAAAGAAAATAAATATGCTAGATTATGAAATAAGCGATTTATCAAATTATACATAGTATAAAACTATGAACTAATAAATCTTTGACATAGACATCAACGTGTAACAAAAACTAAGCATGATTTATTTCTACTCATTGTTTAATTTGTTTCTTCAATTATAAGAGAAGCATGTACGTTGATCAAGAAAGGTTTTTGATATTTTTAATCATACTTCTACGAACTGAAATTTGGACAAACTATTATGAGTAGTAATCAAGTTATATACTTCATGCCTATCTCACTATTGTTAATCTTACTGACTTGATGATGTCTGCTACGAATGGAAAATAGGCAGCAAAACATATAATATGTTCTCTACGAGTCAAGTGTATTATCAACTTACTCTGAAACCTTTGGTATATTGGAGAGAAGCAATTTGGAACTTTTATATGGTATATATTTCTCTTGCATAATTTTTTTTTTCTTTTCTCTATATATAAAATAATAATTTGACAAATTACTCTTATGCATTTCATTGTAACTTTGTGTTATATGAAAACTATCCAAATCATTAATAATAATTGCCTTCCACTTTCTTTAACCATTTTAATTATATGAATGGTAGTCTGTATCCAAACAATCTTTTCATATTAAAACATTAATTAACTATTACAATATGTACTTATTCTACATATTATTAATTTCAAAATTAATAATTACATTAAAATTATGCAAACTTCATATTTATCTGAAACCTCAAACCAAAATTATATACTACAACTAATAAAAATTTATTAAATTAATTATGTTGCGGTATATCGTTCAGTCATACAAGATATAATAATTTTAAACTAATTTAAAAACTAAAAATATCATAAACATTAATCTTATTAAAAATATAAAATATCACCATTAATCTACAACTGAATTTTTTTTCACGGGAAAAATGAATTTTTTTCCAAGAATTTAATCTATTTATAATACAAAACCATAAAAATTATATATATAGGTGAATAAAAAAAATGATCATGTAGTGTGCCACGGGATAAATTTTATCCATGTACGTATATAAACTACAATGGTTAAGGTTTTATATAAAAGATACGCATAAAATACTAGATCCGTGGTGTACCACGGGGTAAAATCTAGTGAGTAAGTTATTTTTAAAACCATGCTTATGAGATGGAAAAACATGACCTATATGAAAGATGACGGGATGAATTTTCTATTATGAAATAAACAAACTATATTTCTCTTTCTTTTTTTATATGTAGTTGTCATTACTAATAACAAAAACAAATCCTAATTAAAAAAAAAGAATACTAAACTGAGCCTACTTAAATTTGAATAATGAATGTTAATAATATTTTTTAAAATTATGTTTATAAACATGACTCCGCACATTAATAATATATTACAAATTTGATAACAAACTTAGTTTTGGAAATGAATCATGCACATACGTGCGCGTCCGAACCTAGTAACATTTAACATTAATTACTTTTATAATACTATGTATTTTGTAAGATTATAATACACACTCAAAAGTCAAAAGTCAAAAGTGCTACGTGTTATTGTCATGTTTCTCGTTCTTTGTTTGACAACCCCAAATCTTCTTTATCGGTATCTTGAATTATTTTGGTTCTTCAGTCACTTAACTTTAAACGTTTTCACTTGCTCATTAAATTAAACAACTTTGTGTCCTTTTCTACCAGAGCTTCTTGTTGTTCATCGTGTCTCACAGTACCAATTCAAAATTTATTCACTGTCAATAACGCATTCATCTCCTTTAGCTCATATTCCACCTTCAATACAATATCCACGAACCTAACTGATTCCTTCCCTCTCTGTTTAGTACTCTTTACCTATGATCTAAATGTACAGAATGCTCAGTAGCAAATGATCTAAAGCCAAAACATCGCACCAACTCAACCACTATATAGCATACACTACTCACTAAATTCTGATTTCTTGGACAACATATACTAATCACAGACAGTCACACACTTGGAATTAGCATCAGCTAGATGAACACATACAAAAATGGCAACTAAACGTACTGCTGAGAGAGTTTCAGATTAAATAATGATATAATGCTGCAGCCATACATGTTGTAAGAGCATCATTAAAGGTGTATTCTTGAGGATGTATCTTAGACATTAATAAGTATATTAATAATGAAAAAGTGTAAGTTAAGAACTTTTGATTTTGAAGTGATTATTGGTTAATCTTCTAGTATCTTAGCGTTTTAATAATATAATAATATTAATATATTGTTTAATTTATTAATTAAATAAATTATTAATAAAATGAAAACTTATAAAAATAAACATAAAACATATTTGAAAAGTAAAATAAAAAGATAATACAGTTCAAAATTATTAATAACAAAAAAAACAATGAAGTGAAAATGAAAAACATAAAAAGTTGCAGTTCAAAGATAGTAGCTAGTTATTTGCTCTGTGCATTGGTTCTTTTGGGTATTGGGTTTGGAATATGAACTCAACATGTGTGTAATGGAAATATATGTTTTATGAGGTGCCTCAACCTTTTGTAGGAGCATTCACAGGACATTCTTTAGAGTTCTCTTTGGCTTCATAATATGCAGCATTCAAATTCTTGTTGCCAGTTGGTGTGCCGACCATGCACCATACTTTATACTGTTATGAACATCATCTTCGCTATATGACTTAATCACAAAGAATTTAGCTTTCAAGAATCTTTGCTGGGGTTGATGCTAATCTGCAAAACAAACATAAACCATATTCAAGATATGTGCTTCAATAACTTTTATTGGAAATGTGGTTCAAACAACCATATGACCCAGCAACATTACATTAAGTCCTTGAGACCAGTTTGCTCTTTTGAGCCTAAACCAGTGATATCTTTATTTGCAGGTAAGATATGCACTTCTGCAGAGTCTTTCTTATCAGAAGATTTCTCAGCAATACTTCCCTTTTAAGTGTAGCATGTCTTCAGGTGGAACTGAACCTGAATCCCCAATGTTGAGGATTGATGCATTGGGTGCTGAAAAATCCCCAGAGCAGTCCTTGACACCAGTTTGCTCTTTCAAGCCTGAGCCAATGATTTCTTTGTTTGCAAGTCTAATATGTTCTTCTGCAGAGTCTGTTGGTGATGCATAAGCATATCCTTGTTCACGAAACGGCTGCATAGAACCTCTTTACAACAAAGACATAACCAGTTCTCTACGGGATTTTGGCACCTTATACACATTAGAAAGTAAGATAATATAGTTAATACAAGAATGATGTTAATATCAAATATGTTGCCAACAAAAACTATAAAAGCTCTGATACAATGCTTGAGATTGTTTTCTAAGAATTCAGAATTATTAAACACTCCCTACAAAATCACTAAACACTCCCCTACAAGTGAAAATTGTACTAAACAGAATACCAAACACCCTCTACAGCACAAAAGTATCTTATTCTATCTTCAACTACAACAAAAATAACAAAGAGGAAGAGCCAAATCATACATTTTTAGCCTTGGAACTACAGAGAAACAAAGATAAAACTAAATCTAAGTTAAATTCTGTAATGTGCAACAACCATAACTCAATGCTCACATAAAATTTAATCTAAAAGAACGATGACAAGAACAACAAAACAATCACAGGGAACTCCACAATCACAAACTAGGTCGCAAATAAGTATTTCAAAGAGCTGTTAAAAGATCAACATAAACACTCATTTATAAGGTAACTTGCATGTATGTACCTGACTCTCAACGATTTTGGGATGGAGAAACAGCAGGGATGAGACGCTTCGGACGAGAAGAACGAGATCCACAACACGGAGAAGACGGAGAGACGAGAACACGGTTAGACGAGACGGAGAAGAAGATCTCTCAATCGTTCATCGATTCAATCTCTCAAAATCTCTCACTCGTTTTTCCTTCAGCTCAATCTAGGGTTCTTTCGAGACAGACCAAAATCGAATTGGGGATTTTTTCTTTGATGTCACAAACCAAAAATTAACTAAATAATTTTTTTTTCTTTTATTTTCAGACCAATCATTCCCTCCCACGTGGCGTAAGAACCTTGTCCGAAAGCTTCTTCGACAGCATCCGGATGGACCTTGTGAATCCACTGTTTTATTAAATTGGACTTATTCTAATGCCCTAAGGCCCGTGCGGTTACGTGGATAATGATGCTCTAAGAGATAGAGAACTGCAACTAACTTCAAAGGCAACGTCACTTTGCAGGAAAGACTGCAAGAATATTTTTATAGATGTAACCTTATTTCACATTTCCATTTCAATAAACAACTAAGAGCATCCTCAATGCTAGGCTATTAAAAATGAATTTTATGATTTGTTTAGTAATTTAAATGAAAAAGTGATGCTAAGTAGTGTAATTAAGTTTTATTGTTTTTATGTAGGATTATTGGTGGGTTCTTAAATAGTGGATCTTAGGATTAAAATAAAAAAAAGTTAAAAAAATTAACAATTTTAATTTTTGAAAACAATAATTATTACAAAATAAAAATTTTAAAACATAGATGAGATACAATTTATTGCATAGATAACATAAAAGAGAATGATAAAAAAGAAAATAAAGACAAAAAATAAAAAAAATAATTTTTTCTTATATTTATCTCAACATCCACTCACAGAGTGCCACGTAGGCGTCTCCTAACCATTGTTTTGTATCTTAGCTATTTACCAACATTTTGCATTTAATTAAATCACAAATTCTTGTAAGATCTGCCTAAAAACCTCCCATTGAGAATGATCTAACATATGGGAAAAAAACAGCAGGTCCATGAAATTCTTTTGGAACCAGAAGTTAATTACGTGTACCCGTTGGTGTGTAATGGTATCTATATATATAAAGTTAGCTTTTTCTCTATTCTCATGATGTCACCTAAGCATTCACCTAAGACACATTTTTGTTTAAACATTAAAATAAATTTAAAACATTCATTTAGTGCATATTTATGTTATTTATTTAATTAATATAAAGTTTATATAAATAAAAATAAATTATGTAAAAAAATGAAATGTTAAAATAAGAAAACAATACTTTAATTTTTTTATTAGTAGTAATAATATAATTTAACTTTCATTTTAAATTGATCATAATTTAATATTTTAAATATGTTACTGAGTTTTAGAATGGAAATAAAATTTAAATTTATGGTAGACTAAAACAAAATTTATGTAATTGTATATATAAAATTATAAAGAGGAAAAATAAAATGAAAGTGAAATATTAGTTTATAACATGATCAAAAAGAAAAAAATGATATTTCATAAATTGAATCAAATTTGAGTATTGAAAGATAATAATTAAAGAGAAAATAATTATAATATTTTTTGAAAATCAAATATCACAATATAAATAAAAAATCAACGAAACAAAATTATAAACTTCCCGCGCGCAGCGCGAATCAACTGCTAGTATTTATATAATTGTATATCACATCATCATATCCAGAGCGTCTATATCCCTGTAGATAATGAAAACAGTGTTTTCTTAATGTCTATCCACTTATTCGATAAGAAGCGTTCGACCTCGATTCTTAGGCCACGTGGCGCGCCAAGAGAGGCTAAAATTAATAAGTTTTCTAAAACTTAACTATTTTCTCTTTTTGTCAAAAGAAAAATCCCAAATCCATTTTTTCCTCTTTCGAACCCTAGTTTCACGATCAGTCTCGATTCGTCTTCCTTCCAACCGTTCTTCTTCCCTTTCAGGCTTTTCCAGCTTCGGTAAACGAGTTTCGATACCGAGAAGAAGAAGAAGACTGTTCGTTAGCTGTAAATCGACCAGCGGCGGCGGCGGAGGATCAGATAAAGCTTGGTGGCGATGAGGAAGAAGAGAGCGAGGAAGTTGAGCGGGCGCTTCACTTGGACGGTACGATCCCTGGAACTTCCGATGAGTTTGTAAGGCAAGTCTCGTCTCGTGCTTACGAAATGCGTCGGAAATTAGAGCAGACGTTTGATTCCACCAGCTATGACGGTATAACCTCTCTCAATCTCTGCGTTTTCTTCGATGACATTTGGTGATGATGAATAAATTTCCTTGACTGATACTTCCATTGATGTGCTGCTAGTTTGAAATTCATGTTTATGTTTAACGTTTTGTTGAACAATGTCAGAATTTAGTCACTGTGTCACAACTAAGATAGATGTAGTGAGAGCTATTCAACTAATTGTTCTCTGCATACCATTTCTTTTTTTTTTTTATTTCCATTCCTAGTTTCCAGTCTTATAGTAAGATTGCAAGCAATAACTTATTAAACCAACACGGTTTTTAACATCTCATCATTCACAGAAATGCTGATGGATTGGAATATCAAAAACATAGACTTGTAGGATGAGAACATAAGTGTGGTCTAAAGTTTATGTTCATCTCAAGTTTTATGTATCGATGTTACAGCTTCACCACTTTATCATTCACCTAAGTAGTAAATATTGATTGTCATTTAGATAATTCACCTTATCTTCAATAAAACTTTCGAAATTCAACATCATTACTATGTTTATAGAATACTTTTATTGTAGCTCACTAGTTTAAAGGCAATTCTGTCTCCGCCTTGTGTTCATTACTACAACTTTATGCAATGAAGTTGTTGTATCTAGATATTTTAAGCTTATTCAAGCTCAATAAAACTATTTTCTAAAACTTGCCTTTTAGATGCATGGTGTTTTTAGATTGGTATACACTTATACACTATCAGTTTTGTTTTAACAGCTAGTGTTTTACAAAAAAAACAAAAATATATAAATCAGTGGTTTAGTAGCCATAAGAAACAACAACCCGTATACTTGACAAGCATCCTAAATATCGAAATTTTGTGATTCAATAATAATAAAACGATAATGGTAAGTCATGTACATATAGATATTTTCTAGAGTCAATATTGTCACAACATCGATACATCGACTTCTAGGATGAGAACATAAGTGTGGTCTAAAGTTTATGTTCATCTTAAGTTTATGTTCATCTTAAGTTTATGAAAAACACAAATATATTACCAACAAATATAAATAATATTTTAAATTCTACGTTTTATATATTTCATATATTTTTGCCAAAAATTTTTGGTTTAATTATTTTTATTCCATCGAAATATTTTCTTACTATAATTTATTTTTACAATAAGATTTTATGTAACCAAGCTACCAAATACACCTTATCCCGAATTAGGTTTACAAGTATTACTCTTGAACTGAACCCAATTGCTTCATTGCTCTCTCTAGGTCGCTCGGATTGTATCTCCCGTCGCTAAATGTCTCGCAACCAGTCTTTTGATGACGGCAAGGTTAGTTCTTTTGCGGTAAGCTTGATTCAGTCTCATCATCTAGGGATTCCTTTTTTGTTATTCAGCGCCGCCGTAAATTCTTTCTATGTCTGATTGTCTCAGATTCGTGTATATACATTCGTGGGATCGAATTTTTGGTTTCAATGCACTAGGAAAAAACGTAGTTGGTCGATTGATTGATTGATTTCAAGTTTGAGAATGTAATTTGATCGCTCATTCTAAGTTAGCCAACTATTGGTAGACGCTGGTGATAAAATTATGGTTTAGGTGCATAAACATTCATGAATCTCAGTGGTAAGAAGGTATCAGGACAATCAAATTATGGTTTAGTGTTTGTTATTTTGAGTGAGCTTATCTTCTGCTTCTTTTTATCAATCTCAATGGTGAGAAGGGATACGACAATCAAATTATATTTTAGGTGCCTTTTTTTATTGCCGGCTGGGTGTTTGTTATTTTGAATGAGCTTATCTTTTGTGTCCACACGAATCTCAGTTTTTTATTATCTCTTGTGCATAAGCATTAGATTTCCCACTTACATCTTTTCTGGTTTCCCTTTAGTGCTTACTTGTAGTAGATTTGAAGCTTGATCCAAGTTTTTCAACGGCATTGATATTTTTTCTTGTCTTGAATGTGCCGTGATGCTTTACTTACTTGCAATGGCTGTCACACATTCATATCAGTTTTTTGGCTACTGTATTTTTGTCATTTCTACATCCATATACCAAGTATATCCAGAATATTCCCTGAGACAATTTTGTATGATTGCCAACTTCTAGGATCTAAAAGCTAAAGAGAAGAAACTCCAGGAAAAGGAGGCTGAATTGAAGCGGCGAAAGCAGGTAAGCTATGATTGGGTTTGAAACTATCTAATGTCGCATACCATGATGTCATTTCAAGTATATATTTTTCTGTCTTCTTAAATATGTTGTCTCTCTTTTCTCTTTTTTCTTTTGCAAGATTCCTGTGGCGAAGAACGAGCAATCTCAGCCTTTTGTCACTCCTTCGACGGTGAGGGAAGAGGCATCCACTGTGAAAGTTCCAGAACCGATGGCATGGGAATCTTCCAGCGACGAAGAAGAAGATTCAGGTTTTGAGGAAGAAGAAGGAGGGGCATCCACAGCGAAGAAGACTTCGGTTCCAGAATCGGCACCACGGGAATCTTCCAATGACGAAGATGAAGAGTCAGCTTCTGATAAAGAAGAAGAAGAAGATTCAGGTTCTGAGAAAGAAGAAGAAGAAGAAGAAGAAGGAGATTCTGAAGAGGATGATGGACCGGATTCTGAAGAGGATAATTAACCATCCAAGGATGATCCAGCTCCTGTTGTGGCTACTGGATTTGCTTATGCTCATGTTTCTGCTTCTTTGGTGGCCGCTACAGCAAGTTCAGATTCAAAAGAGACTGAGAGCAGATCTGCTCCTGCTCCTGCTTCTTCTCATGTTCCGGCTTCTTCATCCCGCCCACCAAAGAAGAAGAGACAAATTACTGAAGTGGCGGCTGCTTTAACTGTAGCGAAACGTGCCAAGAATGTGAGGTTTCAGAGAGTGTGGAGTGAGAAAGATGAGATTATGTTGCTTCAGGGATTGATTGAGTATCAGAGCAAGACAGGTCAGAGCGATTCTGAAGACATGAATGCATTTTTCCATAGTATTCAAAGATCTATTAGTTTTGAAATGAAGAGTGTGCGTCAGATGACCAGCAAAATTTGGTTTCTAAGGAAGAAGTACAAAAACGAGAAAGGCCAGAAACGCTGTTTTACAGAAGAGCATGATCTAACATGTTTTGAACTCGTCAAGAAGATTTGGGGATCTGAGGTCATTGATTCTACTATTGCTGAGGTTGATTTTACTGTTCCTAGTGACTGATTCGAGAAATCGTTTCTCGTTCCTTCTATTGCAGAGCTGGGAGATTCACTGGATGAAGAAAGTGTAAAAGAGAGATGGAATTTGGCGACGGCACAGTAGAAGAGAAGAATTGAAGAAACTTTGAAACTATTCAAAGAATATGATGTCAAGCGCCTGCAGCTAAGGACTCAACTTCTGCATGAGGTGAGCTCTGCCATTTTCCAAATAAAAACA